GGATGCTGATAAGTGCTGTCTAATAGGTGTACGTAAAGCCTCATGTAAACAGCCTCCTAATTAGAGAGACCTTTATCAGTTCCTCCATTTTATGCAGATTGAGCCGGTGCAAACGCTGCTGTCATTATCTCGTAATCAAGTAGCTATTCACTGTCATCTTTTAAAAACTTGATTAAAATGCATAACAAGGAATCAATGCTGCTTTATTCCCTCCGTCACCTCATAAACATGGCTTCTTATTCAGGTTAACTGAATAATGGTCTTTAGCAGTATACATATAAGAACTGTTGAGTTAAAAGGGATTATTTGCAAAAGCTGAACATCTTAGTGTTCCCAGATAGTTTTTAGACTTGGAGTACAGTTTAAAAGGTCTGCAGGCTTCCAGAGGGGAACCATTGTATACAACCGAACTGGATTTCTTGATTTTAAAAACTGAATTAAGTGATACTCTTAGTAAACCGGAAAAAAAGGTTCACAAAAATGGAGTTAGATTACACAATAGCACAACCTAGCTGATGTCCTCTTTAATAAGCAATAAAGGTGTTTTCTCATAAGACAAAAATAAAATGTTGTAATTGCTTTTGCACTGATACCATTATCAAGCAGGGCCCCCATCCAGCACTAAAATGGTGGTATCGGTAACAGCGAGTACCAACAAATAGGGCACTGATGCCATTTTGAGAGCCAAAAGTTTATTCAACTATTGCAGGTAGGCAATAAACAGTTCTACTGGATTCACTTTGTATTAGTCTTTTTCCTGCTTCACAAAGGCAGGCAGCAGCTTAACAAAGCCATGATGGCCATTATTTTACATCCAAGTACTATACAGTTCTTCATATATAAACACACACATCAATTCCGAACAGATGGCATCGGTATCGGCCGATACTGCACAGCCAGGTATCGGTATTGGGGCCAAAAAATGACACTGGTGCAACACCAATCCACCAATCCATTTTCCGTCACCCTTATCTCAAGCGGGGTCGCGAGGGAATGTTGTAATCCAATACTTTATTTTATTCTATACTCCTATATTTTGAAAACTAAAGGCTGGGTGCAATGGAAGCACAGTTGTAAAGCATGCAATCACAGTACAGCTGTCTTAGTCCTCAGCATGGCTGCAACAGGTTTGACTAACTGTATGTGCTCTCTTTTATCCTCTGACATAGCAGCTGGCTCATCGTCTGCCTGGCTGTGTGTTTCCTGGACGGGGCCGCATGTGAAGCTGGTTGACAGTTGCCTTTTATATCTCTGCTTCTTTCTGTATGTCTGTTTCTGTCTCCTTGAACCCCAGTCAGCCTCTGCAGATGGCTGCTCACACTGAGCCTGGATCTGCTGGAGGTTTTAACTCTCCACTGTCGCTACAAGCGTGTTTGGTATGAGGGATTGCTTTCAAGTCAATGAGTAGATGCAAACAGCTGGTTTTCTTTAGATGGAAAACTTTGAATCAATTTGACTGTATAATCTGGTTGAACTGTCTCTTTAAATTTCCTTGAGATGACATGTGTTGTGAATTTGCATTATATAAATAATCTCAATAGAATTGAGTCCTGGCCTGTTGACTTTTGCTTTTACTCCCCCTCTCTCTAGTCCCATTTCCTGTCTGTATACTATCAAAAAATAACAAAAATAAAGCCAATGGGGCTTAAAAAAGCCAAAAAAGGCTTGCAAAACATATGCATAAACTTGATCTTTTTCATAATTTGCTATGTTTGATATCAGATTGTACTTGTTAAAATTAAGAAATGAGACGTCCTGTTTACAGTTTGTTAAAAGCTGTGTAGATAATCACACAAACATGTAGTCAGAGTTGCTTTGGTTATATGACACCAATATTTAACATGTTGACCAGCATGGAAATTGCTACTTGTTGCAGAAAATGATGTACTGTAAAAAAAAAACTGCAGATCTCCCTGAATGCACTATCCTCATAGTGAAGCATGGTGGTGGCAGTATTTTACTGTTGGGATGTTTTCCAATGCAAGAACAGGGAGGCTGTTAGAGTCACAGTAAGTTAGATGGACCTAATTACAGGGCTATAGTGAAACAAAACAAGTATAACAGCCTCTTCACATAAAACACAAAGTAAATATGCTTAGGTAAGGCAGACAAGTTTATTTATAATGTACATGTCAGTGGCAAGACAATTTAAAGTGCTCTACATTAGGAAAAAAAGAAAAGTACATTGCAGTAGCATAAAGGCAACACACAGTTAAAGAAAATATAAATGGCAAAATAAGAGGATTATATGTAAATATTGATAAAATTAAGAAAGTGGACAAAAGTTAGACCAAAAACTTAACTAATAAAGTTTAGATAGCAAAGGCCAATCTAAACAAATGCATTTTTACTCTGGATTAAAAAAAAAGAGGGTTTCAGTGCTTTTAAAGTTTTATCCAGATTTTTGGTGCATAGCAACCAAACACTGCTTCTCCATATCTCGTTTTGCTTCTCAACATTTAAAGTAGATTAGAGCCAGAAGACCTATGAGCTTTGGGAGGTAGATATACTGACAATAAGTCTGTAATGTGTTTTGGAGCTAAGCCATTCAGTGATTCATAGACTAACAGAAGTACAAGGATTTTAGACCTGGAGTGATGCGTCCCTTTTTCTTAGTTTGTGAGGATTGGGGCAGCAGCAGCTGCTTGATCAAACTTTTAGGCAAACCTGTGACGACACCTTTGCAGCATTCAATTCAACTAGAGATGAACACATTCATAAATTCTTCATGGTTCTGATGAGACAGTCGTTGAATCATTGAGATGTTCTATGCGATTCTGAACCATCTTTGTGTTCCTTTTAATGTTCAGATCTGAGTCTATCAATGCATCTACTGTAGATTTCGAGCCCAATTGGCGGTCCGAGCTATAACTGAAACTGAGTTTACATTTAGATACCCTTCCTCGGATCCAAAGACTATTAGATTTAGTCTTGACTCAACTGAAGAAAATTTTGGCACATCTATGCATTGATTTATTGTATTAACCCAGTGGGGGAATAGGATTCATAGTCACCTGGTGACTTCATGTACAGCTGTGTGTCATCTTCAGAGTGTTGGTAACCATTTAAGATCCGAGTTAAGAGGAGCATGTAGCTTATAGGAGAGGAGCCTATAAGCAGGGCCCTTATGAAACACATGTGATTTTGTGGTCTCTGATGTAACGTTACCGGCAAAAAAAGGGCATTCAAATAGACATAAATTAGCCCAGAGCTGAACCAGAAATTATTGTACTTCAAAGTTGAACAATCCCCCCATGTAATTGCAGTTTCCAAAGTGTGCCAAAAAAACACAGTTGAGGAATGATTCTGTTAGATTTGTCTGACTGTTAGCAAGTCAATTGAAATATTAAACTCAGCCACCTGTTCGGTTCCTCACCTGTTTGTGCTGCTGTGCTCTCAGAGCATCCTCAAACAGGTGCCGTCTTTGATTTCAATTCATAAGAGGTTTTGATTAGGAAAACAAGGGGAAGGACTGAAAATCCCTGAATGACAGTCCCTGTACAATTAAAGAAAGTAACTTATATGGGTTTAGCATGGTTAGCAATCAGGAGGCTGTAAAACAAGCGACTGCACAATCAGCTGCAGACACTTAACCCTTTAAAGCAGAGTTTATCATATTTGATACATGAGTTTTTTAGACCTCTGCAACAGAGTGAAGTTTTTGTCCTTGAAACCCATGCACTGAACAGAAAACACTATGGAGAAATGCCTGTATAAAAATGTATCCAAATAAATGATCTAATTTAACAAAATGCAAATCAGAAATTTCCATCCCAATTCTAATAAAAAAAAAAAAAAAAAAAATGAAATTAGTTTTTTTATTGAATGGTTCAGGCTTTAAAGGGTTAAATCAGTGGGGGAAACCTTAACATCCGACCTAAATGAGGAAAAGAAGATTCTCAACACTGAACCAGGCAAGTTTATTATCCAAAGACAAAACTACAAACAGCTCAAGATGAAGGTGGCATGGGCGGTTCTAGATGTGGGGCCAGTTCCCCTATAGATCAGGTCCTGGCCCCTGTACTGAAGACATAATATTCAAAGAAGTTCTAATGATATGCGCTGGACATGGTTACTGATAGATCCAAGGACCCATTTCCTCTCTTTTTTTCCCTTTACAAATTCTGATTTACTAATTTTTTAAAAAAAAGGTGATAATGGCATTGAGATAGGAACCCAATTGCTCAAACAAATAAAAATACTTTTACAGCTGAATTTATCAGTTTTTCTTGAGTTGTAATTCAGATTCCATAGAAAAAAAATTGTAATTTTAACTTAGTCAGAAATATGTAAAATTCAGAAATTAAGGTAAATTGACCTAATAAGACATAATTTTAATTAAACCTAACTAAATAGAAATTCCACTTCATGCAAGTATCTTAATACATTTGAATCCCTTTACCTGTTTTTTATTTCAAGCTTTTCTGTGCCCCCATGAAAACACTGCCCCCCCTCATACATTTGGTCTAGAGCCACCACTGGTAGGTGGACTTCAGACCTTACTTGTCTGGTAGGAGGCAGAAAACAAAAGGGGGAAGCAAAGAGGAATTACAATTAAATTAATTTAATGTGCAGGAGAAACAAGTTGTGTGTAAATAAGTGCAATATTAAAAAGGTACAAAACCCCACATTTATAATATGTTGCTGCTATACAGGGTCTAAATTAAACTCCTTCGTGAATTTAGAGGATATTGACATCCCACAATAAAATACCGTAAAAAGCATAATTGAAAATAAACTGTTTACCTCACCCGAAGGAGAGGGGGAAAAAAATCAGCTGCCCTTAAAAGTCCTACATATATTAGTCAAGGATCTAGCAGGCAGTTTGACCGCAGTTCAGCCTAAATATAAAGGGTACAATGCCGCCATCTAGTGGATCTTTGACAGCATACCCATATTGAAAAATTAAAGAGGCGCCCGAGGAAAATGGCAAGTGTGATCTTGTTTTATTTGAGTTACACCCCCCACCCTCCACACACTAATAGTTTTAGTAGAAATCTTCATTTAGAGCTGGTGTACTTGGTCACCGCCTTGGTGCCCTCGGACACTGCGTGCTTGGCCAGCTCCCCCGGCAGCAGCAGCCTGACGGCGGTCTGCACCTCCCTGCTGGTGATGGTGGAGCGCTTGTTGTACTGAGCCAAGCGGGACGCTTCGGTGGCGATCCGCTCGAAAAGGTCGTTCACGAAGGAGTTCATAATGCTCATTGCTCGAGCGGAGATGCCTGTATCCGGATGAACCTTCAGAACAGAGAAAAAGTTGTAGGAACATCATGAAAAAGTAGTAGGAACTAATGAGAGTGTTGGTGTAATTGTTCCTACTGCGCTCACCTGTTTCAGGACTTTGTAGATGTACATAGCGTAAGTCTCCTTTCTTTTGACCTTTTTTCTTGCCTTTTTCTCGCTTGAACCCTTGCCTTTCTTTTTTGATATGTCGTTAGTCATTTTTTTTTTATGTTTCAAACTGTAGTTAGTTGGCAATATGAGCAACTATACCGGGTTTCTGGTAGATATGCCACAGCTGGTTTTAAATGTTTCCTTAATTAGCGACTAATTAAGTTCAGCTGGTGTGTTTCACAATTACTGAATTATATTCACTTAAGGAATAAAAACGACAGGAGTAATTTTACTGAACAGTATTTTTTACTTTTTCTTAACTAGCCTATTATGAAAAGCAGCTTTTTCACTAAATGAAGAGTATGTAAAAAACAAAACAAAAAAAACACACAAAATACACACATTGCTCTAAAAAGTTTGATAGAAATTATATCCACTTATTTGTTGTTGTTTTCATGTCATAAATACATGTCACATCATGCAAGTTTATAAGTTGAAGTTATTATTACAAGTTAGAAAGTCACAGGCTTGCAACAATAGTATAAATTCACTAATTTATGTACGAATAACAGATTTCGAAGTAAAAATCACAACTGTACAAGTATGAATTAGAAATTTAGAATTTATTGACCGATATCTTACCCCATACAATAGTTAAAAAAGGATCACATTGAGATTACATGTTGTGAATTGTTACTATTTAAACATGCTGAATTGAATTTCTCCTATTTTGGCTTCTCATCAATGGCTTCCTATTCAACCCAGAATATAATCTAATTGTTCCTTATGCTCCTAACAGAGACTTTAGTTGTTAATAACTGTAAGTGCTCTCTTTCATCCCTTTTTACATTAAAACTGGCTCAGTTTCTCTCCTGCACAGAGACCGCAATTGCTCTAGTTTACGTTTTTATTTTCAATTTTATTTAGTTTACTGTCTGTTCTAACATTGAAAGTATTTATAGATCAGTGCTTCTATGTTCACTTTGTGTCTTCGTCTGTCTCCTTGAACCCAAACCGGCCTCAGCAGGCTGCTCACCCTGAGTCTGGTTGTGCTGGTTTCTTTCTGTTTAAAAAAGTTTTCCTCTCCACTGTTGCTACAACCATGCATGTGAGGGATTGCTTTTGTGTCAAGAAGTAGATGCAATCAGCTGGTTTTCCTTAGATATAAAACTTTGAAGTATTCTGACTGTATGATCTGGTTGAAATGTATCTGTAAAGGGCTTTGAGATGATATGTGTGGCACTATATAAATTGACTGAATTGTAGCACAACAGGAAATGTGCTTAAATTTGTTTTGGGGGATTTTTTTTTTTCCCCACCAGGGGATAAGAATACAACTACCAGAATTTTCACTGTGGTAGCATGTTGTATTGCCATCAAACTCACAGCCATATAAAATCTCATCTGGATCATAGTACCACTTTGACTTTTAATTCAAATTAACATTATTAGTAAATATTTTAAGCCATATCTTCTAGCCCTAATAAAACTTAATCTAAGTGAAATAAAAATAAATTGTTTCTTTGGTCTGAGTCATATCTTAAATGTCTAATATGGCAAGCACTTCAACATATATAGAAAAAGACAAGTTAAAAAGAAGTAATAGAATCTCATCACAAGCCTAATTCTAAACTCAGTATTAATGTGGCAAATAAACAGCGCATTCATTACAAGATCAAAGTGACAAAAGTGACAAGGAAGAGAAAGCCTGAAAAACCTTCTACTATAGGTATTTTTTACCACCGACTTCTACAGGACTGTTGTAGACTCATTTTCAGTTGGTAAACATTGTAACTTATTTCTGTGGGTGGAGCCCAGCTGGAGGCAGAAACATTCCCCCAAGCACTTTAACAACGGTAACTACCAAGTTTTATTAGCTATTTTAAAAGGAAACATAATAAGAGAATCACAGCTGTAGAAAACCAATTTTATCTGAGTACAGCATGTAACCTAGAGTAATTTCATTTTTTTGCCAGGACATTGATTTAAAGAAGTTAAATTTAGAGGATAATACCAGATCGAAGGACCTGTATACACCAAATCAATGGATGACGATCTGACTGAGTTAGCTCTGGATAAGTGGTGTGACATCTACACTTGGGTAACTGAAAAACAGATTTCTACATGATTTTGTAAAGGACAGAATGTAGCTGGCTTGGGTCCTTGTAGTAATTTAACACTTCAATGTAAATAGGGTTGCAATTAACAATTATCTTGCAAATCAATTAATCTGTCGATAATTTTTTCGATGAATCAATTAATAATTAGATGGCAAAGGGTTCCTTAAAGAAGGTTTACGAAATGAAACTAGGTTTACCTAAAATGCTAAATGTTTACATATTTTGTAACAATTTTGATATAATTTCTGCTCTGAATGGGTTGCTCTGTCAGCTAAAGGTATACTTTACACTCTCTATACTCCAGTAACGATTAATCAATTACTAAATTAATTGACGATTATTTAAATGATCAATTAAGCACAATTAATTGTTTCAGTCCTAAATGTAAATGGCAATTCAAGATGAATATCTGAATAGGCGCCCTGTTATATGGTGCAGGCTGGCAGCACATCTTAAAAATTATTAATAAATGACTGAGAAAAAAAACCAACCCCCACACAAATTTATTTTATTTGTGTCGGGGTATTTTTGTATCATAATGTTAAGCTTTCCACTTTGCACCTAGATTCATACTACAGCATAGTATAGATTGACAATGAAGGATATTTTGATTATTTATTGAAATTCCTTGCAAATACACTTGTGGCCTTTGATGTAGCATGTCCCTTTTTGCTCATTTTCATAGTTTTTTATTTTATTTTGGTGACCATTGTTGTTCTTTATTTAATTAAACAAGGGGTACCGACTATTTTTGTCCACACATGCAAAACTTGTCAGGCAGCAGACAGGGAGGCATGCACCACTGATGCCCACTGGGTGGCAGGCTTGTTTAATACTTACTGAAATTTGGAGAACTGCTGTGAATGTCATAGAATGCTGGTCAGTGATTTAAAATTCCCTACTGGCAAATGCAATAAAAGTCCCTGTCCTTCAGGTAGGATTTAAACCACTCAGGTGCTCTACCAGAAAGTTCAACCCAGTTTTCCAGATGCTCTGATAAAATTTATTGATTAACAGTCTCAAACACTGCACTGGGGTTCAACAATGCCATAATTGTGGTTCTGTCATAGTCTGAATTTATACAGATGTCATTGAAGACCTTAATCAGGGCTGTCTTTATACTGTGATTGTATCGGAAAACTAACTGAAAGACATCAAAGCACCTGGGTGATTGTAAGGAAAGCAGTTAACTGTTGAAACATAACTTATTCAATAATCTTAGTAATGAAATGCAAGTTTGAGAAGGGCCTGTAGTTCTGCAGGACCAAATTTTCCAAGCTTCTCCTTTTAACAATAGTTTGATAATTGCTATTTTTAAGGACTGGGGAAAAACAATATATTTATGATTTGAATCAAATTGTAGACCAGCCCATCTACCAAGTTACAGGGTAAGGCGGAAGCAGAATAAACTTCCCTATAACTTCTCTTTTGGTAAAATGATCATTAGGAAAGATAATTTCAAACTTAACAGAAAAAAGGTCCAATAGGAAAACATCAGCTACAGAAACATCAGAAATACACCTTGCTGCTGACAGAGTCCAAAATATGTCCACAATTGAGAGTTTGCTGTTTAACTTGTTGAGTCCCACAACATAGTTCTTTTGCACCTGTCTTCAGGGTTGTCACAATGGACATTAAAGTCCCTGACAAGAATTAAGTTGTCATGTTCAACACTTCTCATAGATAAAAGTTAATTAAAATCATTAAAGAAATTTATTTTGGACTTTGAAGGCCTATAAAACATTCAGAAACATGGCTTGTGCAGGGCACTGTACTTGCAAAGCCAGACATTCAAAAATATTTAAACTCTCTAAGTAGCACTTTTCTACACTTTAGTGAATCATTCTACAGAGTAACAAGTCCTCCCCCTTTTATAAACATCCTGTTGTGATGAAGAAAATTGGGAGGTGTGGTCTTCAATATCATTGAGATCGTCTGGTAATTACAGCCATTTAAATACAGTGGTTGATATTATCTCTAGCTGGTTTAGCTCTACATTGCATAGTTTGCAAATGGAATGGTTTACGACTGTTTATCCTCTTAGCTCTGGGTTTCCTACCACATATTAAACCTGAGATTCGTCCTGATTGCCAACACTGCCATCTTTCTTTGCAAGTAGTGGACAGAGCTGATGGTGGGGGAGATTTACAGGTTCCAGGTTTTCGGCTGCAAAGAGGAGATAGAGAAGGGGTTCATAGGGGCATGGGGGGAGGTTTTAATGTTGAGGGGACAGATTCAGTTTTGGTGTTGTGCTGGACACAGGCGACAGCACTGGAGATCTTGTGGGGGTCCAATTCGAGGGGACTTACTTGGGTCTTTTGTTGGTACTTCATGCTGGTTTTTAGGGGCCTGAGGGTGGTGACTGTGCTCCGGAGGTATACTTTGCCATTACCCCATCAACCACTTTGGCTCTCTTTATCTTTTGTTTATTCCCCTTTTTGTTTCCTTTTCAAGGCCTCAGCAGGGTGACCTTTCATATCAGGCATACACTTTATCAGATTTTTTTCATTCACGTCATGTACTTTTTTCAAGGAGTAGAAAATGTTGGAAGCCAAAAGTTATGCACTGACCTACAGTATTCAGCTGAATTCCATCTGTTTTGAAGAAGTATCTCTTTTCCCAGAAGACTTTAAAGTTATCAGTAAAGCCAACTGATCTTGCAGAAAAAGCTGAGGAGTTCAAGTATCTTGGGGTTCTGTTCAGGAGTTTGGGAAGAATGCAGCGGCTGATCGACACATGGATCAGTGTGGCTGCCACTGTAATGTGGATGTTACACCATTGTGTTGGGGTTAAGAGAGAGTTGAGCCAAAAGGCAAAGATTTACCAGTTGGTCAGCGTTCCTTCCCTAACCTATGGTCATTAAATATGGTTGAAGTCCTAAAGAGCAAAATCCCAGATACAAGCTGACAATAGGACTTTCTCTGCAGGGTAGCCAGGCGCTCCCCTACTCTGGGCCAAGACTTAATATGTTGTGGCTTCTGTGAAGCT